CTTGGATCTACCTTTTTTTTTCCTTTTTACTATTTCCATGTTCTCGACTATCTACTTATTTTTTGTTTCTGACCATGTTCTCAGGGGGCTGTCCCGTTCAGTTTTTCCAAAAGGATGACTTAAACATTGATGAGCTAACAAAACAATGACATTAAATAATGGCCTGGCATGAAACTGTTGGACATGTTTGGGTTTCACTGACACGAACTCGCAGCTTGACCAAACCTGACGTCAGTACCAGAAGATTCTGGGCTGGTCTGTGATGCTGGCCAAATCGCCCACACACTGACGATGGGATGGGTTCAGGGACTAGTTCAGGGACACAACACGGTCCAAGGGTTGCAAATGGGTCTTTTTTCTCTGTAGGAAACTGTTAAAGTTGTGGACAGAGATCTTGGGAGGACGGGCAGAATAAAGAATCGCTGGATCACTTCATTTGTGACAATGTCTAGGAGGCAGCGCGCCCGGAAATGTGAACATCCCAAAGCGTAGAGTGTGGGTGTCTGAATGATTGTGTGTGTTTAACCATCGATCCGCGCTGGCCTCACACTGTGCAGCCTCGCCCTTTTGTTTGTTTCTTCTTTTCTGTATTTCTTTCTTTCTTCTTTTCTGTCTTTCTGTCTTTCTGTCTTTCTGTCTTTCTTTCTTTCTGTCTGTCTTTCTTTCTTTCTTTCTTTCTTTCTTTCTTTCTTTCTTTCTTTCTTTCTTTCTTTCTTTCTTTCTTTCTTTCTTTTTTCCTTTCTTACATTCTTCTGTCTTTTTTCTTTCTGCTTCTCCCTTCTCCTACCACTCCCACCCCCCCCTTTTCCAGCTGCAGACCGACACTAGCAGACATACAGATGAACAAACAGACCGCCACGACAAATACCCACATTCACAGGCATCCATATAGACAGACACTTACAGATAAAAACACCAACAAACAGACAGACAGGCAGAAATATTGCAGCTTCGGCAGCATGTTTGTTTGACCAAGTGTAGACAACTCCATGTAAGATTTCCGGTAGCTAAGATGTCTTGCTAGGATCTGAGTGGTAACAGATTGTTTTTGCTTGTCTCTCTACAGCCGGCGAGAAGATAAAGAACATCAAGCCAAAACCAAAGAACTCGGCGCAGATGGTAAGCTGTTTCCACTTCTGTATTTGTAGTAGCACTGTGAATGTCTTTGTTCCTGTATTTGTAGTAACACTGTGAATGTCTTTGTTCCTGTATTTGTGTTGTCTGTATATATGAGCGTGTGTGTGCGCGCGCCGTGTGCAGTTTGTTTCCTAACAAGAAATGGGTTATTTATACGATAGTCTCCCATTTACACACCACCAGTTGTAGGTCAACTTCATTGGTAAGTTTTGGACTAGTCTACCATGGTCGAGGTTATGGGTGTAGCAGTCTGTTGTCTGGCATTTACGTTTTTATTTTTTTCTGAGAAAGAGACGGCCTGTGACATAGGGGGGTTGTGTGTTAGATCCAGTATCTAAATGTTTTAGAAATTTAAAAGCTCTGGCACGGTGAAATATATAACATGCGTTATGAGCGCTAGTTCGAAATATCCCGTGACCTTGTGTGAAAGTCGGATCGCTCGAGGCCGACCTATCAGTAGTGAGGTAGTCAGTAGGTCATCGAATCAGAAGCGAGCTAGTGTGTAGCGATATGTAAATGGGGAGACGAGCATACAATGTAGTCGAGAAATTAATAGTTTGTGGAGCTCTAACGGCACAGCTGACTTCGTAAAGCCCTGGCAACGGTTAACATCCAGGCAGTAACACACGAACTACTGGGCTTCCGGTTTTGTGCCATCCTCGGCAGAACCATGCGTTAAACGGCCCTGCACCGACTATGCGCTGTCACTAATTACATACAGCACTGACTGTGGAAACCATTGACTATGCGCTGTCAATAATTAGATACAAAACTGGCTGTGGGAAGCACTGACTATGCGCTATCACTAATTACATAGAACACTGACTGTGGGAACCACTGACTATGCGCTGTCACTAATTACATACAGCACTGACTGTGGGAACCATTGACTATGCGCTGTCACTAATTACACACAAAACTGACTGTGGGAAGCACTGACTATGCGCTATCACTAATTACATACAACACTGACTGTAGAAACCATTGACTATGCGCTATCACTAATTACACACAAAACTGACTGTGGGAACCACTGACTATGCGCTGTCACTAATTACATAGAACACTGACTGTGGAAACAACTGACTATGCGCTGTCACTAATCACATACACCACTGACTGTCGGAACCACTGACAATGCGCTATCACTAATTACATACAACACTGACAGTGGGAACCATTGACTATGCGCTATCACTAATTACATACAACACTGACTGTAGGAACCACTGACTATGCGCTATCACTAATCACATACAGCACTGACTGTAGGAACCACTGACAATGCGCTATCACTAATTACATACAACACTGACAGTGGGAACCACTGACTATGCGCTGTCACTAATTACATACAACACTGACTGTAGGAACCATTGACTATGCGCTATCACTAATTACATACAACACTGACTGTGGGAACCACTGACTATGCGCTGTCACTAATTACATACAACACTGACAGTGGGAACCGCTGACTATGCGCTGTCACTAATTACATACAACACTGAATGTGGGAACCATTGACTATGCGCTATCACTAATTACATACAACACTGACTGTGGAAACCATTGACTATGCGCTATCACTAATTACATACAACACTGACTGTAGGAACCATTGACTATGCGCTATCACTAATTACATACAACACTGACTGTGGGAACCATTGACTATGCGCTATCACTAATTACATTCAACACTGACTGTGGGAACCACTGACAATGCGCTATCACTAATTACATACAACACTGACTGTGTGAACCACTGACTATGCGCTGTCACTAATTACATACAACACTGACTGTGGGAAGCACTGACTATGCGCTGTCACTAATTACATACAACACTGACTGTGGGAAGCACTGACTATGCGCTGTCACTAATTACATACAACACTGACTTTGGGAGCCACTGACTATGCGCTGTCACTAATTACATACAACACTGACTTTGGGAACCACTGACAATGCGCTGTCACTAATTACATACAACACTGACTTTGGGAGCCACTGACTATGCGCTGTCACTAATGACATACAACACTGACTTTGGGAACCACTGACTATGCGCTGTCACTAATTCCATACAACACTGACTTTGGGAACCACTGACTATGCGCTGTCACTAATTCCATACAACACTGACTTTGGGAACCACTGACTATGCCCAACACTGACTGTGGGAACCACTGACTATGCCCAACACTGACTGTGGGAAACACTGACCATGCCCAACACTGACTGTGGGAAACACTGACTATGCCCAACACTGACTGTGGGAAACACTGACTATGCCCAACACTGACTGTGGGAACCACTGACTATGCCCAACACTGACTGTGGGAACCACTGACTATGCCCAACACTGACTGTGGGAACCACTGACTATGCCCAACACTGACTGTGGGAACCACTGACTATGCCCAACACTGACTGTGGGAACCACTGACTATGCCCAACACTGACTGTGGGAACCACTGACTATGCCCAACACTGACTGTGGGAACCACTGACTATGCCTAACACTGACTGTGGGAACCACTGACTATGCCCAACACTGACTGTGGGAAACACTGACTATGCCCAACACTGACTATGGGAACCACTGACTATGCCCAACACTGACTGTGGGAAACACTGACTATGCCCAACACTGACTGTGGGAACCACTGACTATGCCCAACACTGGTTGCAATGAAAGTAAAAGGAAGGTCAAAGGCCTGTAAATAATTCTCTTTACTATTATTTCATATTATTTCATATTATTTCATATTATTTCATATTATTTCAAGTAATATATTTTTTTTTTCTATTCGACATTACTGGTATTTTTATTGTTGTTGCTATTATTATCTCCATCAACATCATTAAAGTGTTGAATGATAGATAAATATCGGTTAGTTCCTTTAAGAACATTATTTTGGGTTTAATGATTGAGGTCTGATGGTGGCTGCTCCTAGTTACGGCACCTTTGACTTGAGGCAGTTAGACGCAGAGGCAGGAAGAGACACAAGAAAAGAAGTGAAATAGAAACTGAAAGACAAAAATAATGACGATTCAGAACGTGTGGAACTTTCAGTGACCGCCATTAACAAACATTGACGTTTTCGCTTGACTGACTCTCGACACGTGACCACTCGCAATGGGTTGTTTCCGTGTGTTGATTGGTTCACACCAGACGTCGGTCAGGCTTGACGACACCAGCTGTGCACGTGCACGAGTGACAGGGCAACCCAGTCCATCTGGCTTTGTTGCAGCTGTTCTTTAACTCTTTCACGGCTAATTAAAATTACTTGGCAGGAACTACAGAGTCAGGATACGGCGAGATACACACAAGCCCAGACCAAGCGCTATCACAGTTAGGGATGTCTGTTATACGGCTAAAGTTGTGGTTCTTTCTGGGCAAATTTTACCTTCAGTTGTTTGCCATTGCCTCTAAACGGTCATCACTTAATACCACTGTCGAAAGCAGCGCAAGACGGTCTGCTCCCAAATCGCACGCAGCAGGTTTGAAGCCGGCACCCCGCATTACGAACAGCATTCGCAACGCCACAGACGCAGACTATAGCATATAGCAGACAGACAGACAAACTTGCAAGCAGGTGAAGTAGCATGCAGTCAGACCGCATACATGCAGGCAAGCAGGTAGGGTAGCAAGCAGATAGACAGACATACAGGCAGGCAAGCAGGTAGGGTAGCAGGCAGATAGACAGACATACAGGCAGGCAAGCAGGTAGGGTAGCAGGCAGATTGACAGACATACAGGCAGGCAAGCAGGTAGGGTAGCAGGTAGATAGACAGACATACAGGCAGGCAAGCAGGTAGGGTAGCAGGCAGATAGAAAGCTAGCGACCAGCAAGATGGGTTTTGCAACAACGGGGTATTCTCATCCTCGCAGATTTGGACCTGGATCACGGTCATGCCGAGTCTGCAATAACTCCCATGATCTTATTAGAAAATATGGCTTCAATATCTGCAGACGTTGTTTCAGGCAGTATTCAGATGACATTGGATTCAAAAAGCTTGACTGAACTCAGCTTATGATGTCTGTTGTGAAAGTGTCCACACTTGATTAGCTATTTCAATAAATGGGTGTGTTCAACTAAAACATTTAAAAAAAAAAAAGCACGTAGATAGACAGCCATACTGGCAAGCAGGTAGGGTAGTAGGCAGATAGACAGACATACAGGCAAGCAGGTAGGGTAGCATGCAGATAGATAGACATACAGGCAAGCGGGTAGGGTAGCAGGCAGATAGATAGACATACAGGCAATCAGGCAGGGTAGCAGGCAGATAGATAGACATAAAGGCAAGCAGGTAGGGTAGCAGGCAGATAGACAGAGATACAGGCAAGCAGGTATGGTAGCAGGCAGATAGACAGACATACAGGCAAGCAGGTAGGGTAGCAGGTAGATATACATACAGGCAAGCAGGTAGGGTAGCATCATGCAGATAGATAGACATACAGGCAAGCAGGTAGGGTAGCAGGCAGATAGATAGACATACAGGCAAGTAGGTAGGGTAGCAGGCAGATAGACAGACATACAGGCAATCAGGTAGGGTAGCAGGCAGATAGATAGACATACAGGCAAGCAGGTAGGGTTGCAGGCAGATAGACAGACAGGCAGGCAACCAGGTAGGATAGCAGGCAGATAGACAGACATACAGGCGAGCAGGTAGGGTAGCAGGCAGATAGACAGACATGCAGGCAAGCAGGTAGGGTAGCATGCAGAAAGACAGACATACAGGCAAGCAGGTAGGGTAGCAGGCAGATAGACAGACGTTCAGGCAAGCAGGAAGGGTAGCAGGCAGTTAGACAGACATACAGGCACGCAGTTAGAGTAGCAGGCAGACAGACATACAGGCAGGCAGGTAGGGTAGCAGGCAGATAGACACGCAACCAGGTAGGATAGCAGGCGGATAGACAGACATACAGGCAGGCAGGTAGGGTATTAGGCAGATAGACAGACATACGGATAAGCAGGTAGGGTAGCAGGCAGATAGACAGACATACAGGCAAGCAGGTAAGGAAGCAGGCAGATAAACAGACAGGCAGGCAACCAGGTAGGATAGCAGGTATATAGACAGACATACAGGCAAGCAGGTAGGGTAGCAGGCAGATAGACAGACATACAGGCAAGCAGGTAGGGTAGCAGGCAGATAGACAGACATACAGGCAAGCAGGTAGGGTAGCAGGGAGATAGACAGACATACAGGCAAGCAGGTAGGGTAGCAGGCAGATAGACAGACATACAAGCAAGCAGGCGGGTTGCCACATGGTAAAGATGATTTCAGAGACTTCTTCAATTCCATTTGACTAAGGTCTCACACAACTACACTCAAACTTATACACAACTACACTAAAACCTCCACACAACTACACTAAAACCTCCATACAACTACACTAAAACCTCCACACAACTACACTAAAACCTCCACACAACTACACTCAAACCTCCACACAACTACACTAAAACCTCCACACAACTACACTCAAACCTCCACACAACTACACTCAAACCTCTACACAACTACACTCAAACCCCCACACAACTACACTCAAACCTCCACACAACTACACTAAAACCCCCACACAACTACACTCAAACCCCCACACAACTACACTCAAACCCCCACACAACTACACTCAAACCCCCACACAACTACACTCAAACCTCCACACAACTACACTCAAACCTCCACACAACTACACTCAAACCTCCACACAACTACACTCAAACCTCCACACAACTACACTCAAACCTCCACACAACTACACTAAAACCCCCACACAACTACACTCAAACCACCACACAACTACACTCAAACCCCCACACAACTACACTCAAACCTCCACACAACTACACTAAAACCTGCACACAACTACACTCAAACCTCTACACAACTACACTCAAACCCCCACACAACTACACTCAAACCTCCACACAACTACACTCAAACCTCCACACAACTACACTAAAACCTCCACACAACTACACTCAAACCTCCACACAACTACACTAAAACCTCCACACAACTACACTAAAACCTCCACACAACTACACTCAAACCTCCACACAGCTACACTAAAACCTCCACACAACTACACTCAAACCTCTACACAACTACACTAAAACCTCCACACAACTACACTCAAACCCCCACACAACTACACTCTAACCCCCACACAACTACACTCAAACCCCCACACAACTACACTCAAACCCCCACACAACTACACTCAAACCCCCACACAACTACACTAAAACCTCCACACAACTACACTAAAACCTCCACACAACTACACTAAAACCTCCACACAACTACACTCAAACCCCCACACAACTACACTAAACCTCCACACAACTACACTAAAACCTCCACACAACTACACTAAAACCTCCACACAACTACACTAAAACCCCCACACAACTACACTAAAACCTCCACACAACTACACTCAAACCTCCACACAACTACACTCAAACCCCCACACAACTACACTCAAACCCCCACACAACTACACTCAAACCCCCACACAACTACACTCAAACCCCCACACAACTACACTCAAACCCCCACACAACTACACTCAAACCCCCACACAACTACACTCAAACCCCCACACGCTGCACCCTCTCCTCCAGTTGACCCACCCAACGACCACACACTACATCCACTACTCTAATTGACCCACCCAACGACCACACGCTACATCCACTACTCCAACTGACCCACCCATCGACCACATGCTACATCCACTACTCCCACTGACCCACCCAACAACCACACGCTACATCCACTACTCCAACTGACCCACCCAACGATCACACGCTACATCCACTACTCCAACTGACCCACCCAAAGACGACGCGCTACATCCACTACTCCAACTGACCCACCCAACGACCACACGCTACATCCACTACTCCAACTGACCCACCCAACGACCACACGCTACATCCACTTGTCCCACTGACCCACCCAACGACCACACGCTACATCTACAACTCCAGCTGACCCACCCAACGACCACGCACTACATCCTCTTTGCTTTATTTCTCTCAAGTCTAGAGCTTAAGCCGTTTTAAAGTTTTATATCAAACATGACAATTTAATTGATTTGGCGTAATGGAAAAACAACAATTCTGCTCATTTATAATTTAGTTGGGGAAGAAAAAAAAGAATGCTGATCTTATTTTTTTTCCTTTATGTTAGCTAAGACATGTTTAACCCGGAAGCGGAACCAGACAAAGAAGTTTTTGATGCCTATTCTCAACTTCCGGTCAAATAAAAATATACATTCTGAAAATTGTGATTTGTGTGCGCCAACAAATTAATTTTTTTTTCTTCATATTTTGCACACAATAAACACATCCCATGAATCCTGTTTGAGTTCAGGGACATGAAAGTAACAAATGTTGACGTAACTGATCAATGGCATGCCAGTTGGTTATTTAGTTTTCATCAATTAGTTTTAAATCAATTTGTGGCAGTTGTTTGTGGGGCTGAACTAGTTCCGTGTTAAACTTTTCTGTCTGAGGTACCAGAGAGGATTCTGTCTGAGGTACCAAAGAGAGTTCTGTCTGAGGTACCAGAGAGGGTTTTGTCTGAGGTACCAGAGAGAGTTCTGTCTGAGGTACCAGAGAGAGTTCTGTCTGAGCTACCAGAGAGAGTTCTGTTTGAGGTACCAGAGAGAGTTCTGTCTGAGGTACCAGAGAGGGTTCTTTCTGAGGTACCAGAGAGGGTTCTTTCTGAGGTACCAGAGAGGGTTCTTTCTGAGGTACCAGAGAGGGTTCTTTCTGAGGTACTAGAGAGGGTTCTTTCTCAGGTACCAGAGAGGTTTCTTTCTGAGGTACCAGAGAGGGTTCTTTCTGAGGTACCAGAGAGGGTTCTTTCTGAGGTACCAGAGAGGGTTCTTTCTGAGGTACCAGAGAGAGTTCTGTCTGAGGTACCAGAGATGGTTCTGTCTGAGGTACCAGAGAAGGTTCTTGACTTAACCGCGATCAGTGAGACGTTAAAGTTCGACCTGTCCCAGATGAAATGTTACAGACAAGTTCTTTGAATTCAGAACCAACGATAACTCTGGGTTCTGGAGCTTCAGTGATGGGGTGGGATGGGAGTGTCGGGAGGTGGGGGCGGGGGATTAAGGGAATAGATACACTGCTCCCCAACAAGCCATATCGTATGGGTGTTTCTTTCCAAGTCGGAGTGCATCTTCATGAGACGTCAGGAAGCAACACACTGCATACAAATAAGCCAGATCTGTAAAATGGATATGTACACAAAAGCCAGGTTATGAAGCAAGACTAAAGTCATGTTGACATGTGGTGGAAGCAAGACTAAAGTCAAGTTGACGTGTGGTGGAAGCAAGACTAAAGTCATGTTGACGTGTGGTGGAAGCAAGACTAAAGTCATGTTGACGTGTGGTGGAAGCAAGACTAAAGTCAAGTTGACGTGTGGTGGAAGCAAGACTAAAGTCATGTTGACGTGTGGTGGAAGCAAGACTAAAGTCATGTTGACGTGTGGTGGAAGCAAGACTAAAGTCATGTTGACGTGTGGTGGAAGCAAGACTAAAGTCATGTTGACGTGTGGTGGAAGCAAGACTAGAGTCATGTTGACGTGTGGTGGAAGCAAGACTAAAGTCAAGTTGACGTGTGGTGGAAGCAAGACTAAAGTCAAGTTGACGTGTGGTGGAAGCAAGACTAAAGTCATGTTGACGTGTGGGTGAAGCAAGACTAAAGTCATGTTGACGTGTGGTGGAAGCAAGACTAAAGTCATGTTGACGTGTGGTGGAAGCAAGACTAAAGTCATGTTGACGTGTGGTGGAAGCAAGACTAAAGTCATGTTGACGTGATTTGGAAGCAAGACTAAAGTCATGTTGACGTGTGGTGGAAGCAAGACTAAAGTCATGTTGACGTGTGGTGGAAGCAAGACTAAAGTCATGTTGACGTGTGGTGGAAGCAAGACTAAAGTCATGTTGACGTGTGGTGGAAGCAAGACTAAAGTCAAGTTGACATGTGGTGGAAGC